ACAGGGGACCTGGGTGAGGCACTCCAGGGAGTTTCTGATGCAGGTCATCCGTCACTGCACAAAATGACAGTGGAAATGATCACTTAGAAGTTGACACTGAAAGTAGAAGGGCAGGAAATGGTCATGCAAAGTAATAGCGTACTGCATCATGACCAAGCATGCATGCGGGAGTGCACATCCGCAAAATGATACAAGTGTGGACACTGCCATTATTAGCAACAAGTAGCGCAAAAGGTTTTCCCACAACAAAAACCAAAATGAAAATAACAAACCAAATTGCTCAATTCATAATGTAGTGCCAAGCATTCCCCAAGAATTAAGAGTTATGTTTGAGCTTACATGTACTCATCAGACTAGATGAGGGTTTGATTCCATAAAATGACACATACAAATGGCATTTTTGTGCTATTAAGAGAGCTCTTTGAAGGAAACCGTCAGTGGCCTTTTATCTCAAAGAAAACCCTTTGACCACAAAAGCAACACTCTTGACTTGGCAGAGCATTTCTAATGGCTGGCATCCTTTCTTCACCAGTTCTGCAGTGAAATCTCTCCTGTTAGCCCGGCCACGATGTGTTTCATCTCCAAATGGCAGATATCCTTTCCCAAAACCACTCAAGCCCGGCTGGAATTTTCCTTTCGGACTGTTTCCCACAAGGGCCACTCCTACGTTGATAACTTGCAGCTGAGCTGGCTGGCCGTGGAGATAACAGGATGAGGTCTGCCGAAATATATAAAGGATGTCCTACTTTTTTTTTTCTTCAGCCTGTCCCTTTCTCTCTTTAAATGATCATGATGATTGAAATCTACGGCCAAAAGCATGCACGATACCGGCTACACACAGAGTGTCATTAACATGTACTGGTCATACAAGTATGGTTGCCATGTCACGTAGACCCCCGGAGAATAAATTGCATGACGTTTGATTTCGGCACCGATACATATGGGGGGGGGTTCAAAGGAGAGGTCTCTATCCCCATCATTTTGACAGATGATTCGGTAATGACAGATGAGTTCATAGACTCATTTCCATCACGAATGTCAAATTAAATGTTTCATACCCCCCCCCGGTCATCTTCATTAGTGCCAATGGACAGTTGATGAGGCTTACAATGGTCTCAGTCGTGTACCGCTGGGGCTAGTAGTTGAATTCAATCCAGACACACAGTGTTATCTCAGCACCTGACAGACATTCTTCAGCCATTCAGATTAGTTACCTTGCTTCATCTCTCCTCAAAATGTTTTTACATCCCACAGCAGGAAAGTTAAAGATGGTCTGCATGGACTGATTCAAATATCAATATTTTCTTAAAATGGCTTCTTTTGCCTTGACACCCATTGGAGTAACCATGAACCACAAAGCCAGCATGTGAGCTGTCGTAAGGCCGAGCTGATATGGCATACCATAGGCACGTGAACTAACGTTGCAGCATGACTTTGGTAGTGCTTCATTACTGGAAGCATGCTATGTTGGAACACTTGAGGTGGCTCTGTTGCCACTATGAATTTCTAGCATTAAAAGCTCATAAATATAAATGTGCAACTATCTCTTCACTTGCTGAAATTTTTTATAGCAAAAAACGAATTTAAAGTAAAACCCTAACTGGCACCAAATACTTTCTTTCTGTTCTTCCCAAAATGGTGTCAGTTAGGTGAAAATTTAAGTTAAAGTGCTAATCCCTGTCTGGAGAAAGTCAAAGCCATTTGCATCACAAATAATAGAAACGCGTCTTAAACAATTCATTTTTTTATATCACAGTAGCACTCAGTATTTCTTAAATCCTTGAGATACAATTTACATTGTCTAAAGTGATATGCAAAAAAAAGTGCATAGCTTCCTCACAATAAAGTTGCCCCTGAGATGCAACTTTGACAGACTAGGTTCTTTTGAAACCTTTCTGGGTTGATTTAGTTTTGGATTCTGAAGGGTTGAGAAAGAGGAGCTCTGCAGCAATTGCTGTACAGCACCTTGATGCCCCTGAGAGCTGAAGAATGTTCTGCTTGTTTTAAAAGTTCAGATTTTGAAGAGCCAAGACAGCTCTGAATAAAAAAATGTCAGGGACAGAGGGTTAGGTTACGTACAAACATCTCTGTTTTATACATTACGTTACAGTGGGTGATACCAAAGTAACTAAATAAGATGCCTTTGTTTAAGCAAAGGCAACAGAAACAATTTCCACTTATTGGGGTACTTAAAGTACTTATTGGGGTACTTAAAGTACTTATTGGGGTACTTACAGTTTATTGATTTGGTACCAATGCTAGAAACAAGTTCCACTTATTGGGGTACTTAAAGTTTATTAATTCGTACCAATGCCTGGCTTTACTCTGATGAGGTCACAAGGTTTCCCTCTTGGCTGATGTTGAAGTCTTTAAACTATACACAGTACCAATGCAACCAATCCCTGAACCAGACCAGCAAGTCAAGGACCAGAACTGGACAACTTAGCCCAATTCAGAATCATCCCAATTTAGGACAGGCACCTAATAGGGAACTCGCTTTTTCTGGGTAGGGGAACTTCATTTTGTGGAAACAGGATGGGGTTACCAATTGTCTTTCAGAGTAATGTCCCCAGATGCACTTTCACCAAGGAACGGAATCAAAAATACAGAAACCGCTCCCACGCGTTCCCTTACGTTCTGCGTGCCCTCCCATTCACCCCCGTTCCGAAGAGCACTTTGGAACACGTTCCAGCCCGTTCCCTTGCATGAGTGATTCAGAGAGTATTGTTATGTTAATTGCTGTTCCTGTGCATGCGAGAAAGGCAGCGTCACAACAAAGATGGGAAGAACATGCATACAAGCTGTTCTGGAGTCTGTTGGCAAAATGAGTGTTGACAGTGTTTGGTCCAAGAAGATTTTATTCCTCTTACAAACACTTATGCTGACCATTTGATGTACCAACTTCTTATATTTTATACATTCTTGCTCAAATTTCCAGGTTTTAATAGAAAACAGCTGAGGAAGGAAGAATGAATATTTTGGGAAGGTTGGGTGCTCGAAATAAAAAATCTGCGGGGTCGTGCAAGAAAAAAAACCCTCATGGTCCAGGTTTGGATAGAAAAATGCCGAGGAGGAAAGTATTAATATATTTTAATGGGTTGGGTGCTCGGAATAAGGAAAAAATGTGCACTGGTACAGGAAAAAAATATAAATCACATGTGGTCTTGGTTTGGACAGAAAATAAATGCTGAGGAAAGAATTAATATATTTTGATGGGTTGGGATGGATGCTCTGAATAAAAAATGCAGTAGTGCGGGAAAAAATAAAAACCACAAGTGGTCTAGGTGTGGATAGAAAAGAAATGCTGAGGAGGGAACAATTTATATTTTTGGTGGGTTGGGTGCTCTGAATAAAAAAATTGGGCGATTGTGTAAGTGAAAAATTACTGAACATGGTCTAGGTTAGGATAGAAAATACCAAGGAGGGAAGTACTCATATATTTGGCAGGTTGGGTGCCAGGAAAAGAAATGCCGAGGAAGAAAGAATTAATATATATGTATTTTGGCGGATTGGGTGCTCCAAATAAAAAATACCGAGATGCTGGGAAAAATTAAAAACCACACTGTGTTCTAAGTTTTGATAGAAAATGCCAAGGAGGGAATAATTAATATTTTAACTACGAAAACAAAAGCCACCTGTGGTCCAGTTTCAATAAAGAAATGCCAAGGCGAGCTGTCAATCAGAAAGAGCAACCAAGTCTGCTGGAACAATGGTAATACATGACCGTTGGTCAGCTGTCCATCTTTGGTTGGATGAAAGCTCCTCAGAGACTTTATTTGGAATACTCTCCTGATTTTATTCCCTTGCAACATTTATTTTTGTCTTGGTTTGAACAACAACGAATGGTCAGTGAATTATTCTCATGCATAAAACGGGTCTTACATAGATACCTTTTTTTGAAATTTGCTTTTGAAATTTCCATGACAGTAAGGGTCGGGTGTATAAACGTTTTAATGAAAAAAATAAAATGCATTTAGAGATTTTCCTAGACATTTAAACGGAACTACCTGTTGAAAGTTTCACAATGTTCAATTGACGCAATCTGGGTCTGGGTCGACAGATTTCGTGCACTGTGATTGGCCAACGTGTTGCAAACTCTTAGAGGTGCACTATTGTGAATCGCCCGTATTAATGAGATGATTTTTTGCAAGCAAAGTAGCCATTGGTAGGATTGTTACACTTGCACAGTCCCAGAGTTAATCCCGTTGCCAAGAAACAGTATTACCAGGAGAAATCCTGGGCCCCCTCAAGCATGCTGCCTGGACGCTGCCTGGCTGCTAGCCAGGCTTTGTTGTACAGCCCTGGATAAATTAAATAATGTTCCTTCACGTCCTTCTCTTGACATTAATTTATGGCAAATAGACCGACAAACAGACCATGACGGGTTGTTGTAGAGGAACGTGAGGGAACGGGAGGGCCGTTCACTGCATGCAAAGTGGAGATTCATTTAGCTTGAACAAAAGAATGTGTTCTTGGTATTCGCACACGTGTAAACGGTCAATGTATTTTTGATTCCATGCCCAGTGCATAACATAGAATTTCCAAGGCTTGTTCAACGCAGGAAATATTTCCAAGTATGCTAAATTATCTCACACTTGAGTATCTTGAGATACAGATGCTTTCAAGGGATTGAAAACACCAGACAGAAACTCATAATCAGGCTCCTTTCTATCAGGTATTCAACTCAGTAAATTTTTTTTCAGGGGGGGTTATTTTACAGAGCAGGGCTTGATTATGTAAAGCTGCTGAACAATGTTGCTCAGCAAATTTCTGCTAGTGGAAAGTGTTGAAATCCATTCACAAAAGATACATTATGCAACAGTTTGCCTGGTGACCTGTTTTCACTAAGCAGATATTTTCTTTGCTTACAAAAACTCCGCGCTTACAAACTGTATGAGATTTGGACCCAGGTGATATTCTGTTGCTTACACCAACAAGCTTAGAGGAAAATCTATAGAAGTAAATGCTGTTTAGTCCAACTTGCCAGACTCAAGTCTTACCTTTGAAGGAGAACCCATACGCTGCATAGGCTGCGGCTGTTCCTGCGACCGCACCTGCCCTGGCTCCAGCAATGGCCGCTGCCCCTGTGCCCTTGCGCACCCTGCCGGGCCTGGCTTGAATCCTCTTGGTGCCTGGCGAGGGGGTTGTCTTGCCTCCCCGAGACGGGCCTCGCTTCCCTGAGCCTGGCTGGTGGGACCTGGCAGAATCTGATGATTGAAAGAAATGATAATTCAGGGTCAATTCTGAGTTCTAGTTCCCTGAAAAGCTGCAAAGTCTCATCTTCTGTGCTCGCTGCATCCTCACCTTGTGTGACCCAACTTACAAAGTGATGCACAAGTCACAGTGACAAAAGAATGTAAAGAGTGATGATGAAAAATAAAAAAAGGACAATAAGATAGGAAGCTTTTGTTTTAGTTTATTTGAACAGTTTGTGACTTGAATTCAGACAAGGTCTTGTGATGGAAGTCAGGTGTTTTGACTGCAACAATGAGCCTTCTTTCCCTTCACTTGCTAATGCTGCTCAGGAAGATGGTGCAATCTCTGTGCTCAGCCCAAAGTAAGGTGATGGGAGGAAGGGTTAAATCCGTGAAAGTCCAAAGTCTAGAAAATGCTGCACTGTGTGGGTGAGGATTCCGCCACAATACAGTTTCCATCCATTCCCTATTATTTTAGGATTTAAAACTCTACAGGAAAGATCAAAAAAGGCCCCTCCCCACAGAATCAGTTAAATACAAAGCAAGTCCATTGATTACATTTTTCTACCAAAAGGGACATCATTTCAAGTAGACTTCACACTTGCTTTGACCGTAACGTAAACTACACGTACATGTAAATGGGAAAATGCCACAGCTACATTCTATTCCTATGCAAGCAAATTCCCTAGTGAATGGCAGCTTGTCTCTGCATAAAACAGAACACCTGAAGCACTAGACTCTTTGGAGCCCAGACAGGCATTTATCGTCTGTTCCGCAGGCCTACCGCTATTACCGGACTGATTAACTAATCAACTAATGACAGGTGGTAGTTCTTCAGGACTTATCAGGTGATAAGAATTGTAATTCCAGGGGCTCAAAGGGTGGAAACTCTGTGGCTGTAAGCATATGGTGGTAAGACTAAGAATGTTTATTTTGAAAGAAAAACACTTAACATCAGTACAATCAACTCCTGCCCTCTGAAATCTTTCAAACTCCACAGTGATGTCTCGGAGGATTCTTTAGGATTCAAGAGGCACATGTTCCTGGCCAAGCCGCGGTCACAATGAGCTTGATCTACCACAGCAGAAATTCTTAAGGACAAACTATGCTGATCACTCAAGTACACGAGGGAACTGTAAATCACCTAGATCACTGTGTGAATGAGCATGGATATCTACCCCTTGGGAAGTTAATGTCAGGGATGTTTCTTGAATGTGGGTTGAGATATCTCTGGTATGTTAACATGTATACAAGCCAACTTAAGGTAGCGTCCAAATTCACACGCATGTGAGTCTGTGTGTACAAGCTGTGACTGCAGTTTGAAAAAAGACAAACTTGAGGAAACCACTGGCCAGTGGCTTGCCATTTTCTGGTTAATTCAACAGTGCATGAAGCACGTCGCAGACCATCCGAGTACGTCAACACTCGGGTGCGGGTTCAGTGCCATCAGCACAATCATACACCAACTCGCATGCAACGAACGTGTTCAAAGTGATGTGACATCAGGCGGCTTTGTTCTTCAACGACCTTCCCTGTTTGAAATACTAAACTGCTTATTATGTACATGTATTTTAATATTGAATGAATATTCAAATCAAGGCCTCTATAAGCCAGTGACGTTTTCACATTCCACCAGGGAAACAGCAACGTACATGTACCATATCCGAGAGAATCCATAAACAGGAGCCTTTAGTGACAAAGTTAGGGCATAAAGCCCCCAGAGGACACCAAACACTGTGGTTTCAAAGATGGGCTCCATTATCTAAATACATGGCTGCTGCAAATTCAACATGGCACATTACCGTCCAGTTCAATGTCTGCAGACTGTTCATCAGCGATGACAAGCCCGTCGTTGCTGTTCTCGTCAACGGAGACTGGGGTGTAACTCTGGGCCTGACGCTGCGTCTCGCTACCCACGGACACCTACAGAGAATGAATACAACTATCAGTCAGTCATGCATTTCTCATTGCCTCTCTTCAACTAATGAATGAATGACCGTGAGACATCTGTTTGCAGAGAGCATATGCGCTCTAAACATGGCTAAATACTACACAAGACTGCTTTTTGGCTGAAAAAGGAAGCTCAACGGCAAAATTATCAAAGGGCTCACACTTAATTACAACTTCTTCAAATGAAATCTCCCTCTCGAAAACTAGTCATAGGAAACTGTTCATATTAATTGCTTTTAATACAATCTCTATACATGAAAGATTTTTTTCCCCACATACACACACGCAAGTGTGTATTTGCCTGCAACTGGGGACCCCCTATTGTTCCTTTTTTGTTCGTACTCTAACTTTTGTAGAAGACCACCCATATGTTTTGTACACAGTTGTCAATCGGGGACCCTCTGTCAATCGGGGACCTTATTGTCCTCTATTGTTCAAGGTCCCCAATTGAATGCAGAAACAAACTCACACACACCAAAAACTAAAAAGGGCACGAAATGAAAATGACAAAGATTGTAAAATACAGCCCATTCTTTTGCAGGCTCGAGAAAATTCATAGTTTATAAGTGGGAACTGCCCAGTGCATTATCAATGGAGAAGTTCATTTTTGAACAGAGCTTGCATTGAATGGTGCTCTTCAGCTAAAAAGTCATGAAAAGCTTGAACTGACACAATCACATAACAAAAGATGCATGGAAGATGAAACGGACCAGTATGAACACGAAATCTGACAAGGAAAAACATTCAAGGCCTCATTTTCAGCACTGAAAACAACGAAAGAAGACCTTGACCTCAAATAAATGATTTGTTTTTAGAAAATTAGCAGAGGGAAAATAACTACCCCAATTCATAAACTGCAGTATGCAACAAAAAAATGCAGTGATGACAGTGCCATTGGGAATACTTAGTTTGCATGCTTACAGCATACGTGTGAGGTCTGTGTGCCTATTACGGTGTATCTCCCACACAAGATGCGTAATAAGCAGTGGGGCTTATCCTATGACAACCAAGAACAGAGCCAAGCCTTTGCCAAAAATTGTGTAACCAAGGCAATGATGCACGCCTAGAATTTCCTGGCTGATTAATACCATCCCCACCAAGCTCAGGCACTGAGGATATTAAAAGAAAAAAATGTGCATCATTAACCGGAAGTCGTGAGAGACTGACACCGACTACTGAGTGCTCCCAAACGGCCAGAATGACATACAAAAACAGATAACTGGACACAAAGAAGTTAAAACCAGAAATGAACTGGTCGTTAACGGGGAATTTGGATAGTAAACTTCGGCTGGGGAATTTCCTTGAAGTCTGATGCATCACAGGCCTTGCCGTTGCCTGGAAGCCGCATCGAGACGGGGAACGCGAGGCAATTAGCTGGGAAACTGGCCACATCGCAGAGGAGATTGTCGGCAGACATCTGAGGTAATGGTGTTTGCAGACAGCTCAGTCGGTGCAATATCTGTTATTTTATTCTCACGTTCCTGCCTAGCGACCGGTGGACAGCACTCGACACAATGGGGAATGTCTGATTAAAAAGGAACCTTACAAGTTTGTCAAGTTCTCTCAAAAAGCCACCGACTGTTAATTCCACAAAAAAAATATGAAATGAACCTTTGACAAAATAGTTGGTAGGGAAAAAGGATCTTGTGCAATATGGGGTAAAATGATCCAAATGGAACACCTGCTATGAGAATGTTCATGTTTTTGAATAGGATACTGTCTGGACATTTCAGGAACTCCTTATAAGCCACTGACGATCTCTGGCACCTGTGATATTATGTGGACACCAAGCAGGCGTCCTCTGGAGCTCACCACCAAAGACAAAGTGGACAGAGAGGAGGACATGGCAAAAGACGGTAAAACCTTGGCAGAATGGATTGCCGCAATTTGCGTGGGTTAGGGCGTCTCACAGTCACAAACAAGTCAATACACAGCGCCACAAGAACACGACCCATTACTCAATTAAAAGACACTGCGTGTCTCATCAACATCCATTCCCCAATTCAGACACAATCTGAAAACGGCCTTGTGGAGCTATCAGGCGGTAGATTTTGCACGGCAAAAAAGCAGGACAGAGAACCAGCAACTGGCAATGTGCATCGTGTAACATAGTGGCTTGCCACCAATCTTTCTCAGAAAATGTTCTATTCAGATTGCTCAGCCACACCAGCTACAAAAAAGACGCGGCACAGAGGTACCGAGCCAATAAAATCCATCCACTCATTACTGCAGGATTTTGAAGGATTCTGGGGGAGGGAGGCAGCCGTTCCACCGTTACTTTACATGGGGGCTTGATGTCTCCTGAAAATTGAAGTCCCACCAGGGGGGAGATTGGAGGAAAATGAAATATCCACAAAATAATCGATAGGGTCTTGATCTGTGTTTGCCAAAGGGTACTCCTTAGAGTAACCAATTTTCCAGTGTTCTTTAGATGAACTTTCGTAGGTAGAAACACTTTTTTGTAAACTTGGGATTTTCCAGATTCTGAAAGAGACTGTTTGAGAAGTCCTGCCATCAGGCAAATCCTGATGAAAGCAATCCTGAAATCAGGAAAAATCCTGACAAATTTCACCCCTTTGCCACAAATTTGGCATTGGTTTCCTGCATGTCTGGAGGACTTGGTATTGGGAGAGGTTTCTGGCCAAACTCATATGGGACTAGGGGGATGCCATTATTGCTACGCCCTAGATACTCTCCTACAGGTCTGGCAATTCTCAGCACAGAACCCATTCTGTGAAGTAATTCTCATTAGACCAGTTTCCCGAAGATTTCTGCTTGGAAATTTTTGCTGAGCAGCATTTTCTTTTTAAAACCTTCACGGGTCCTTCAATCTACTCAGTGTCAAATTTCACAGAACTACAGAAAGCAGATAACAATGCTTAGAAAGATATTTTACTTAGCAAAAAAAACCCAAAAAAAATTGCAGAAAATTAAACACAAACAATTCCCTTTGACTGACACTGGTAACATGCTAAAGCAAGTCCTTACTGCACTTAGCATATTTTGATGTGGAGCATCAACTTCAAATTAGACTAAGCAAAAACACGCCGTCAACTTCACATAAACAATGAGTGAGGAAGCCCAAAGACTTTAATATGGGTAAATCAAACCCTTAATGAAAGGCTCCAAGCATCCTTTAGGGTTCTGATATCAATGTCCACTCAAAAACTGTTCAGGAGGTATGAAGTCATATCATTTCAATGGCCAAAGGTACTTTTACCAATGGTCCATCCTACAAATGCTCTTGGGTGCAGGGTGCCCTACTGCACTATTAAATTGAGGTCCTGTGTGTATGGGACTACATTCAATCCAATTCAATTTTGCACATTTATATGACCACAAAGCTACATCCAACCAATACTGAACATCTACTACACACTTGGGGCCAATTTCACAGAGCTGCTTAAGCACAAAATTTGCTTAAGCGCGAGAAAACCTTGCTTGATGAATCAGGTAACCAGCCAAACTCCATGTGATGTGTACTGTTTTGGGATCCTATTTAGCTGTCTTTTGATTAGCATGACAATCAGAGTTTAACTGGTAACCTTTGTTTTTTTAAGCAAGGTTTTTTTCACGCTTAAGCAAATTTCATGCTTAAGCAGCTCTATGAAATTGGCCCAGCTGGTTTAGGGTACAAATTTGAGCACCTTTTTAAGCTTTTCATACTAAATAAAATTAAACAAGCAAGCAGCCCCTTTAAAACCCCTGCCATCAAGGAAAATAATTAACAATTGATTATTCTACCCCACTTTCACTGTCTGCTGGATTCACCAGCAAGATAACGCATTTTAATTACATTTGGAGTTATGTGAGGCACTGAGATGTAAATAAGCTAAGGTATTATTTTCAGCTTTAAAAGAATGAAAAAAAAAACACAAGCCATGGTAATTGACTGGCCTCTTTGTAATGATTAATGATGTCAAATGAAACAGACAGATTGATCCTTGGTGTCGGCACAAGGCTGGTTTGAAAAGCAACTTACTCAGCGGGGGGAGGGGGGGAAATCTTGGGAATGGAATTATTTCACTGCATTGCTCGCCCCACACACCTTAAAATTTGTAGGACAAATTTGTTTCCTTCAAGGAAAGCATGACTGTTTTACTCTTCAAACTGAAACACTGTTTCACTAAGCTTGAATAAAGTATGAAATAACAAGATCAACATCAATGCGTCAAGCTGATGAGTTGACAGGCTTGATTGGACAATACCCTGTCATGTGACTTGCAGGCTCCATGCTGTAGTGCAACTTGTTATACTCACAGTAACAGTTTTTGTATGGCGCCTTTAACTAACTTAGATTGAAACACTTTCCCTCCTTATTACCCCTGCCCGCTGGGCCTATGAAACATTCCAAATACCGGTACCATCTCAGCTCCCTAGGGAGTATACAGCTCCATGCCGCCATTCTTAACCAATGCTTTTAACGACAGGAAAAACTGCCCCAGGAATTGCATTACATCCTAAATGAAGATTCTCCAGAAAAATCAATGTATAGATTTGGCCATTGATCCAACTGAAAATGACAATTAGACTGAGTAATTTGCCAGTCTGTATGCCTTAATTAACATGCATGTGTTAAAGCATATTGACAAGTGAATAACCCTGCTGCCATGGTTGTGGTCTAAACTTTTGTCAGACGTGGCTCTAACCTAAGGCAAATCAGTCGTGCCATCATTCACAGCCATCATCAAAGAAGGGGGAATTTTCTTGGCACCATCTTGAATTATACAAAGGCCACTATCTCCATCACCTTGGTTTAGACCTTGGTAGTCCATTTTAATGGTCCCAGCTGTGATTCCAAGGCAAGTGTCCATTTGAAACAAAACACTGCCACAGCCTTACAGGAGCAAAATCTCATGCCCAATTGCTAATCTCTCTGCATTAACAATGGGAGAATATCAACCTGCATGTACATGTATATGGGTAACATACATGTACACATGTGCAGTTCTACAGTCAAAGTTTCTTTTTTT